CGAGTTTGTAATGTTAACAACGAAAACATTTAAAAGCGAGACAAATAATATCTCGCCTGTAAATATATTTTTTTCTCTCATATATGTCAACCGTGATTTTCTTTTTGTTGTGTTCTACATTTTTACAATGATATCTGCACTCGCCATAAGCATATATATATATATATATATATCGTTTTGTATTTTTATATATATTTTCTTTGAACTATTTTTTTTTTTTTAATTGCTCCGAGCAATTATTCCATACCATTACGTGTGCTTATTCATGCAATCAAAATAAATTAATAATAATCATGAATATCAATTTTTTACCACATTATTTAACTATTTAGACTAATCATTTCACCTAAGGTACACACACGTTAGGATTATCTCATTCGATATTTCGCTTACAGTTTATTTTCGCGTATTCGATATATTCTATATAATTTTTTTTTTTTTTCTAAACTTAAAAATAAAATTCATCTTAAGTAATATAGTCGAGCGAAAGTCGTGTGCTGTACATGTCGACCTGTTCCTTTATCATACGGTTTAAACGGACTCTAACCATTTTTGATTTATCTTATTTTAAAGAAGGACCCATTTAACTGTTAACCATTGTAATATGTTGCATAATTATTGTATAATCTTTTGTGAAACTTTTTTTTCTAATTATACCGTTATTCAATTGACATTTTACTACCCCCATTCACAATCGTCGAACACTGTAATTATTATTCTATATGATAACATGAAAATAAATCAACAACACGTTTTTAATTGTACGTTTATTTTAATTTCATATATATTATTAATCACAAATATAATAATTGTTTAATTCGATTCTGAAACAAAAAAAAAACACGCATATCGTTATGCATCTATTGTAACAATATGAGATAAATAAATGCAAGAGGCAGAACGCAGCACTAAGAATTAATAATAAACTCTCGCGTACTCTACTTAATCAGCTATTATTGGTTTACCGTAAATAAATATCCTTAGCTTTGAACGAAAAATTTATTCCATATTATTTTATTAAACAATTTGATTTTTTGAAAAATCAATCTTTATCAGTTCTGCCTCTATTGTACGTGTGTATTTCATACCTTGGCCCGGTAGACCACCCGATCCGCCGCCGCAGTCCTCGGTGCAGGAGGAGGAGGCCGCCGTTGTGGTTTTTTGCAAAAGCAACCTCAAACGCTCGACCTCCTCCTCCGCATTGCGGCGAGCCCGTCGCTCCGTTTCTATCGTTGGAGGTGTTGGTTGTGGTGGTGGTGGAGGTGGAGGTGGTGGTACTGTTTTGCGTTCTAAAAAAAAAAAAAAACCGTTTTTTTAACACACAGATATAAGTCGTAGTTTTATGTATAACTACTCGGGCATTCCCGATTCAAGTGGCCACCACTCTTGCACCTCCAGCACACTGCGAAAACGAATATCATCCGTCATCAATACGATATGGGTGCATGATTAATTAAAAAGTATAAATTAATAAGCGCACTTACTTTTTGGACCCTTGCGCTTCTTTTTATTAACTTTGTTTTTTTTTGAATTGTGCGCCGTCGTGGTGCCGCCGCTTACATTCACAATATTGCACTTTATGAAAACTTGTTTCATTTTATTTTATTCTCTATACCGTTAACTGTGATATAACGCTAACAGATTTTTCAGTCCGGGAATTCTTTGCCACTCCCAAGTCGGACTTTGGACTCCGTCGCTTTATAATCTCCGAGAGTCGTCAGCGTTTAAACCGAGTTCAATCAGATCCCGCCGCCGATTTTTGTGACGCGATCGAATAGGGCTATTCACTTATTTAGCCGAACCCTAAGACGCTCGCCACCATCCGAGGTCCGCGTTCGCTTTTACAGAAAAGATGTTTTTCGTAAAACGTCAATGCCCCTAACCACGCCGAATCAATTATTTTTACGCGCGACGCGAAATCCGCGGTAACACGGCCGCTGCAGTTTTTCGTCACACGCGCGAGTTGAACTTTGAACCGCGCGACTTTCTATCGTCCGTGTCTCTGACCACGACCCGGTTTCGGTCGTCCTACCGATATTACTTGCATCGTCGCGTTATCATTTCACAAATCCGAAATTTATAATCAATCGAAAAGCCAAATTTTCATTTTTATGTATACACTTATGCGTATTGACTACACAAAAAAAGGATTTTTCGTATTTTTGTTTTTCCCTACGCTACTAATATACATATATATACAGTGATAACTCATTTATATATTTATATATATATATATATATATATTCTAAAGACTAATTTAATAATTTAAAATGGTACACGCGTGTTACTTGTGCAGCGCAATTGTGGCCGACGGCGTCAGTCTACACAAGTACGTACTCATAACCTAAACGAATTGAAAACCCGCGACTTTTGTATCGACGGCTTATTTCCGTTGTTCGTACGTGTGCGTTTACACGCGGGTGACACTCTTATTAAAATCTACTAATTATACGTTCACAGATTTCCCAGCGATGTCGAAAGGGCCCAGAGGTGGTTGGCGTTCGTAGCGACGTGCGGTTACGATCCGGCGGCCGTAAACTTGCGGAGCGCTTTCATTTGTTCCAGGCACTTTGACCCTGTCAACGATTACCGTACCAACCCAATCCGCAGGTTACTCATTAGCACTGCTGTGCCCACCGTAAGCCGCTACATATATATTTCGTTGTTCCGGATTCGATTATCTTATTTCATGATTATGTTCAGGTGATTGTCGCCAATCCCGAAGCAGCTCGACCCTCTCAGTCGGACGTAAAACACTTCCATTCAGTCTATATTTTAATAATTGCGTTCGCGGGATCTCATGGTTTTTATGATTGTTTCAAACGCGTAATCCCTAACCGAATCGATTCGTGGGGGGATGGTCAATATTGATATGTTCACGGGGTTTGGCCGGTCTCCAATTTATTTACAACCATCAGATTCCGTATCCGCGTGTTGTCCAATCGCAATTGTTGAGATGTGTAATAAATACATTTAGGTTGAAATCGTCGGCATCGCCGTTGGTGACGACGAGGCGGCGGTTGGCGATATAAACGACATGGTACGAAATTGTTTTTTTTTTTCATGTAGTACATTTAATATACAACTTTTTGAATACTTATAATACGTTCGAAGGTCGAAGTCGTCGAAGCCGAAGCGTCACCCGAAATAGTCGACGTCGTTCCGTTCGAAGTGAGTAGTGTTCATTACGTCGTGTTATAGTAATAATAATTAAAATAATATTATTTTTTTGTTAACGTGCAGGTCCAAGTGGTCGGGGCTCCCGTCGAACCGTCGCCCGAATTCGTCGACGTCGGGTTGGACGACGTCAGTAAAATAATTATTCAATCGCTTTTTGAAATACGACGGAAATAAAGACTTTTAATTATTATTTTTTTTTTCTATCCCGTTGTGTATAGCTTGCCGCCGTCGTCGGAGTTCAAAACGAACCAGCCCTCGACGTCGCTCCGTCCGAAGTGAGTTTAGTTATTTCGAACATTACAATAAATAGTATATTAAATATAGCATTCGGCTTTAATAAAACGGAATCTGTTGTACAGCGTGACGTGCATTATATTATAATACGGTGTACATGTTTTTATCTTTTTTTTTTTTTTTACAAAAATTACAAACGTACATTTAGGGACAGCGCCGTAGGTCGTCGCGTCTGTTGTGTTGCCTATTTAGTGTGGAACGGCGTATCTTCTACTTATTTTGTATTTTTTTTTTCCAATGTTTGTAAACTATTAAATTCCATTTGGAACTACTATTACAAATTATTAAAAATTTTCTTTGTGTTATTTATTGCAATATATATATTATATATACACACACATACACACATACATTTGTTTGACAATATTCAAATGGGACGAATGATAATTACAATTTTATTGAGCATAACAAATTGTGTTGCGTAATATTTCTCGAAGTTTAGTCGGACATTAAGCACCATTAATTATTATAATCATTTATTCATTTTTATTTACATGACACGAGTTTTATAACCTCTGCCTGCACAACACTGCTCAGAAAACGATTTATGTTGTTTAAGATTAAACAGAATATTAACTCGACATTAAAAAAAATCAAAATGTCAAAAATATCACTTAACAACATATATATTGTTGTTCATAATTTTTATTGTTATGCTCATTGCCATTATTATATAATAACTAATTTTATAAGTATATTATTCCGTTACAAATTTAATATTTATAACAATGCATTTTAAATATTTATTGTATATATATACATTCTCTGTTTTATAAATCCAATTTCACGTGCACAGGACGATCGACGGGGTGCTAATCCGGAACGAGAGCAAGCCGGCGGTGTTGTTGAAGCTGTACCCGTGCAACCGGTCGAACTCATAGCTCACGTGCGAGACGTTTTACCGGAGGAGAATTGCATCGGACGGATGAATTACGTTTGCGCGCATTGTAACGCACGTCATTTCGGCGTGGAAAGGTTAAGTATTAGTAACGATGCGCGGTCTTATTTTTCTCTGTGTTGCTCTAATGGTTTGGTCGCCCTCGCGGACGACCAAGTATTATTGCCTGTTCCAGATCTGTTGAAGGACCTGATGCTCGGCGATTCGGCACAATCGCGATCCTTTAGAGCGGAAATCCGTCCATACAACAGCGCGCTGGCGTTCGCTTCGTTCATAGTGAACAATCCGCCCGCCGATAGAGCGCCAGAGGCTCAGCCCGGCCGCCGGTTGCCCGGCGGCGTGTTTACCGCGCACGGACAGATGTACCACAGGTAATGGATGCGAAATTTTTTCCTCGACTAATTTATCGGCAACATTACCGTAGGGTATTATTATTTTGTGATAAATTACAATTACACCGCACCGTTTTATTAGTTGTTCCCATAAATTTATAAAATACACATTGACGGAGTAACCGGACTCCATAACGTTTATCGTACGTGCACTTAACAAATTGTTTACAAGTCTTATATCGACTTTAGTTTTAAAATATTTTTCGTATTTCGTTTGTAAAAACTCAGGAAACTAATATGTAAGCTTATTTAAATTTAATATTCATTGTTTATTCATATCGGATAAATATTTCGTAATGACTATTCGTTTCAAACGACTATAACCGTCGAATTAAATCTAATCAAAGGGGATTCAATTTTTACCGTTATTATTAACGAGTCCACCTCGATTCAAATCAATCGATCCTTACGGCCGTTCACATCAACTAATATACATTTGTTCAGCAGCAGTGTTTTCGCGAAAAACTCATTTCTACATTGTGGTATACGCGTACGAACAGTATACATAACACTTCGATATAAACAACACGTTAGTTTTTTTTCTACGATATATGACGTTAATCAAACAAATTGTCAGCACACCGCTTTAACGTTTGTGGAACACTCGAATAAATTATAATAACAATTAAGATATTATTAATTACCTAAAGTAATTTTTATTATTATTTTTTTTTTTTGTTATTACCCTGCCGATAAATTATTTATTATAAAACGCTTTACCGATTATTTACACTTTCGCCGACCGCAGGATGAGCCGAGCGGCGATACCCAACAGGAGGGGGGCAACGCCTCGCTACTGTCAGTTGTACTTCATCAGCTCGACGGAGGCTACCGCGGCGCGGATCGAAGCCAATCGCAGCCGAGCCAACCTGTTGGACAGCGTGTTACGGCAACTCGACGAAATGTTGAGGGCCATCAACCCGTACGCTGAAGCGTTCAGGTAACGCCACGACGACCGTCGTCTTAATTTTTACGCCTAATATATATATATACATAACNTAATTTTTACGCCTAATATATATATATACATAATCTTTCGTCTCTCGCAGGAATATGAACGAGGTGTGGGTCGACAAGACCCGACGACCGCCGGAAGAGGCACCGCAAAGAGTGACCATGTTCTTCATCGAAGACCGCAACAGCGACCCGAGGCGCTACAACGCCTCGCGCGTCAACGAAGTCGCCGCGGTGTTCACCGGCGAGAACGGCTTGCCGCCGGCGCAAGTGGATTTCGCGGTTTACGACCGCGCGACGGCCGGACCCGCGATGCGCACGCTGTCGACGAGGTCGCCACACATCGATCCGATGGTATACCCGCTGCTCTTTCCGAACGGCGAAAGGGGATGGAACCCACACATGGAACAGACGGGCGCGCGGAGAACGACCAACAGGCAACGCGTGTCCATCAGGGAGTTCATGTGCTATCGTCTGGCCGTCCGTTACGGGGGCAACAACGACGGCGGCGGTCACGGCGGGTTCAGCCCGTTACACGCCGGCGGTTTTCTGTTTCAACAGCTCCTGTGCGACTATTACGTGCGCATGGAATCGGAGCGGTTCGAATACTACGAGGCGCACCAGTCGGACTTTTTCGTGGAGGCCTACCAAGGTCTGATGGATCACATCAACGGGCAACACGACGTGACCAGGGACAACGACGTCGGGTCCCGCGTCATTCTGCCCGCTTCGCACACGGCCGGCGTGAGGTTCATGAAAAGACGTTATCACGACGCCATGGCCTTGGTGCGGACGTACGGCAAGCCCGATCTGTTCATCACTTTCACCTGCAACCCGAAGTGGACGGAGATCGCGGACAACCTGTCGGACGCGTTGACGTACATCGACAGGTCCGATTTGGTTACGCGCGTGTTTCACGCCAAACTCAAAGCGCTGATGGACGATCTGACGCGCAGGAACGTCTTCGGCCGCGTGGCGGCTTACGTCTACACGGTCGAGTTTCAGAAGCGCGGTCTGCCGCACGCGCACATACTGCTCATTCTCGACGAGCGGTTTAAAATACGTTCGGCCGAAGACGTGGACCGGATCGTGCGAGCGGACATACCGGATCCCGTCGCGCAACCGACGCTGCACCGTCTGGTCAAGACCCACATGTTGCACGGTCCGTGCGGCGTGTTTTTCAGAACGTCGCCGTGTTGGGACCAAGAGAAAAACGTCTGTACCAAGCAATACCCGAAACCGTATTGCGAGGAAACGGTTTACCGCGCCGACGGCGGTTACCCCGAGTACAGGCGACCCGACAACGGTCGTACCGTCGAAGTGCGGCGGGCCACCCTGGACAGTCAGTGGGTGGTGCCTTACAATCCCTATCTGACGGCCAAGTACAACGCTCACATCAACGTGGAGGTGTGCTCTTCGGTGAAGAGCGTCATGTATCTGTACAAGTACGTGTACAAGGGCCACGACGCCGCCACGTTCGCGGTGTTGAACAACAACGAAATACAGAGGTACGACGACGACGACAAAACGTTTGATATTCGCATTTTGATCGTTTCGTTTTGTTTTCCAGCTATTTGAACACGAGATACGTGAGTCCGCCGGAGGCGTTTTGGCGTTTGGCCAAGTACGAAATTCAAAAGCAGAGTCACGCCGTCGTAAAACTGCCGGTTCACCTCGAGGGCCGGGAACCGGTATATTTCCGACGGGGCGAACTGCCGCCCGCGGTGCTCTTCGGCGCCGGGGTGCGCACGATGCTCACGGAATTCTTCCAGCTGAACAGGAACGACGCAGGAGCCAGGCGGTACCTGTATCACGAAATACCCAACAGCTACGTGTGGGACGGCAGGGAAAAGTCGTGGCGTGTGCGCCAACGCGCCCAGACGTATCCGAACATCGCGAGAATGTACGCGGTCAGTCCTTGCGACAGGGAGCGTTTCTACCTGAGGACGTTGCTGCTGTACCGCAGGGGACCGATCGGTTTCGAGGACCTGAGGACGGTCGACGGCACGGTGTACCCCACCTACGCCGAGGCCGCGACGGCTCTGGGCATCTTGCGAGACGATCGCGCGTGGAGGGCGTGTATGCGAGAAGCTTCCGTCCACGACACGCCGCATCAGTTGAGATGTCTGTTCGTCACGATACTCCTGCATTGCTCGCCCAACGACCCGCCGAGACTGTACGACGAGTTTAAGGTACAACTCTAACTGTTTGTTTTTTTTTTCGCACGGCGACGGCGTTCTTTTAATGTGGATAATTAATATTTTACGAATATCTATCCGAGTTCAAAATTATAAATTCCGTTTGTCCGCGGACAAAACGATAACAATAATTGTTATAATTATTATTGTTGTCGTTATTATTATTATTAATAATATTCTTACTAATAGCTACAATTAACACATATTAATATCGATCGCATATAACGATGATAATAACAATAAGTAAATAAATAGGACAACGGGGCAAAACCAATGTAGATTCAATACTGTTGCAACGCCGCGACTTTTCATGCCATGTGTCATTGACTGGCAAATTTAAATTTTCCACGTCGATTCGATATAATCGTAACATTAATTTACGTGTTCATTACAAATATTTTTTCATTGTTATAGCCGATTGGTTTCTTCAATAGTGTTTGATCCCCGTATATAAATTCATAAAATGTTTATTAAAGCGCGTATTCACACGTTGAGGTAAAAAACAAAGTATGAATCAACTCGATGCAAATCACTACCAGTGTACGACATGTTTATTTCATTGCTTTTATTTATTATAAATATTTCGTTTTAGACGATAATAATGATGATTATTTGACAATATCCATTCAAAGTACGCGGGACGGTTTTGTTTCGTTATTTTTCTTTTATGGCTCGCGCGATAACGGCAAGAGCGATGAATTTGATTATTAATCGTTCGTTGTGTTTACAGGACAATCTGATGGAAGATTACTTCAGACGACGCGCAGACCGCGACACGTCCGAAGCCATGTGTTTGGCCGCCGTGGAACGTCACCTGGCCGCTTCGAACAGGACGCTCGCGGGTTTCGGTTTACCCGAGCCCGATCGCGCTCTGTTAGTACCGGACGCCGCGCCAGCCGACAACGCGACGGCGGCGGCAGACGTCGCCGAGTTGGTCGGTCGACTGAACGAACAACAGCGGACGATATACGATCGCGTCATGCGGGCGGTCGGCGACACCAGGCGTCGATTGCCCAAGTTGTTCTACGTTTCCGGAGCCGGAGGTTGCGGCAAGACCTTCCTGTACAACTGTTTGATTTCGGCCATCCGGAGCCGCGGAGGGACCGTGATTTCCGTGGCCTATACCGGGATAGCCGCGTCGTTGATCCAGGGCGGACAGACCGTAAGTGTTGTTCTGCATAATTAACGCGCGACCATTGCGATTCGCGTTTATTTCGTTCCGCACTAACACCACGCGTTTACTTACAGGTTCACTCTACGTTCGGCGTGAGGGTGGCGCCCCACGATCAAGAAGACCCGTCGTATCTGGCGATGCAATCGAGGAAAGCGCAGGCTCTGCGCGCCGCCTCGCTGATCGTTTGGGACGAGGCGTCCATGTCGCCCACGTCGCAGCTGCGGGTCGCCGACAGGTTGCTCAGGGACGTCATGAACGTGCCGGACACGCCTTTCGGCGGCAAACCCGTGCTGTTCGCCGGCGACTTCAGACAGACGTTGCCCATCGTGAAGCGCGGTTCGCGGGCCCAAATCGTTTCGGCCACCATACGGCACGGTGTTTATTGGGTCTCGATGGAAAAATACTCGCTTGAGCGCAACATGCGCGCCGACGGCGACCGGCCCTTCGCCGATTGGCTGTTGCAGCTCGGCGCGGGCTCGCTCAACAACGGACTGGAATACGTGACCATTCCGGCCGGTGCGGTAAGCGAATCTTTTGCATCTCTTTTAGACTTTGTTTATCCGCGGGCGATGTCGTTGGACAACGTCCGCGATTACGCTAAACATATTGTTTTGTGTGTTACAAACGACGAGTGCAAGAACATCAACGATCAGGTGCTCCGCAGTCGAGTCACGGGATCGCAGAGGGTGTACACCGCCACCGACACCGTCGTGGCCGACGACGACGACGAGGCGGCCAATTTTCCCGTAGAGTTTCTCAACACTCTGGAAGCGGACAACTTGCCGCCGTACAGGTTGACTCTGAAGGTGGGCGCGATCGTCATGTTGCTGAAGAACCTGGACACGACCAGACGGCTGTGCAACGGCACCAGACTGGTAATCACCGAGCTCAGGCAACATAATTTTAAAGCTAGACTGTTGACAGATCTCGACGCCGAGGAGACGGTCGTTCCGATCGTTCAGACGAGGACGTCCGGGGACGGCGACATTCCGTGCCGCATGTGCCGTTACCAGTTTCCCGTGAGGCTCTGCTACGCCATGACCGTCAACAAGTCGCAGGGGCAGACGTTCGATCGCGTCGGCCTGTCGCTGACGGTACAGCCGTTCGCCCACGGACAGCTGTACGTGGCGTTTTCGAGGGTGCGCAACCAGAATTCCATCAGGGTGTACACTTTGTCGGCCGCGGACGGACCGTGCGTTGTGAAAAACGTCGTCTACAGGGAAGTATTAGAATAATTTTGACATAAATCGTGTTCGATGGCGACATTGAACACCATCCCGCCGTACGGCGGGTAATCGAGTGTTATGAACGGATTAAGTGGTGTAATCCGGGCAAAATGCTCGATTTTGACGGGCGTGACTTGTGCGTTTATGCGAATATTCTGCCTGTGTCCCTGTCTGATCGCGTTGGACAGCGAAAAATCGGGTTTGTTGAACGGATTACCTGGTGTAGTCCGGGCAAGAAGCTCGATTGCTGCTGGCACGGGTCGTTTCGGTGTGCCAGCTGCGGCGGGCGTGACTTGAGCGTTTATGCGAATATTCTGCCTGTGTCCCCGCGTGTCCCTCGAAACGGCTATTTTCCCGTGCTGTGCATTTGCCATTCGAACCCCGAATGGCACGTGTACGGGCGGGGAAATTTCCGTTTCGTGCGGAGAGATTGTATGACAACCTTCACGTGGTTCTCTCTGAATGCAAATCCGTTAAACGTTCGCGGCATTAAATAAAATATCACAATAACAGTAATATACATTTTTTAAATATTTGCATTACAAGTCGATATGACAGTCACTTTTTGCTTGCCGTACGGATTCGTAACTAATGTCATGCGTTATAATTAAAATTTATTTGCATATTATAATACATTTATTTGTTCGATTAACGTTCGATTTCTTTTCCAGAACTCAAACGAATTAACACAAATGACTCGGAGGACGTTGGTAACACGACGAACGTTTCGACAAAATAATATCATCTTATGCGGGACCGACATGAAATTCCTGGAAGTTATCATACACGGCAACTTACTTTCTACGCTTCATTAGAAATTATTATCGACCATTTGTGATACATATTTTTGTATTGTTTAACATACGCATACATTATCTATTATATATATTTTCACTTAAAGATTTCAAATGTAATATAACATTTTTTAAGACAAACAAAATTGAACAAATAATTTTTCTTTTTGCCTTTTCTGTAGTAACGGTTTAACATATTAAATATTTGCCTTTATTTTAACTTTCTCATCTCAATACGAATAACGTTCATCGTACGAATTAGGTTTGAAATGTCGTTAGCAAATTTTGCACTATACGAATTCAACATCTTTTTTTAATATTTAGATATTTTTATTTTTNATTTTTTTGTTATTCAAATCTGAAAGTGAAATATATTACACTACTTATTGTTAATTATTTAAACGTATCGTTCGGGTTTAAATAAATACGTACGCTACTTACATTACTGTACGTTGTACCGTAACGCGCACACGCGAAACGACCTAGAATAATATATAAACGACAATAATAATATAACGTGTGTTTAGTCAAATTTTGAAATAAAATGCGGGTATAGATTACATGCGCCTAAAGTCTTTATCGGATACCTACAAAAGTACACTTCTAATCATATTTATTCCGCTAAATCTACACGAGTTGTGCTTGCAACTATATTTTAACTAAAAACCATTTTGATAACGTATTAAGTCGAACAATATTTCTGAACTTCATTTAGTATCATAACGTAATGGTTTACTTATTGAAACATTACTTATAATCAAAATTACAACATTTATAATGTTTTTTTAAATAAATATTCCCGTTTATGATTATTAGGATTCGACGATTATAGTTTTTACATTTTGTCGTATTGTTTGAAATCTAAACTTGAGGTATTTGATTGAAATTTCTCAGTGGCTAATGTCCCATAGCATTCATTGAACACATTTCCCCGTTTCATAAATAGATTTTGAACAAAATATTTGTGAGTAAGAGGTAAGATATTGAGGCACTTGACCAGTGTTCGAAATCAAAAATAATAGCAGAATTTTTACGTGCATAACTGTATACACAGCATACCGCAAATAAAGATCCTGTTCAGTAAATTTCTGTATATTAAAAGTACGCCTTCCCTTAGGAATCATTACTATAATCAAATTCATGTAATTCAAAGAATTTATGGAACTCCCTAACGAAATTACTTATTAGCATAAAGAAATACAACATAGCGGATATGAGATTGTGTGGAGACCGCAATACAAATAAATCGGAATTTTAAAGCAGAAAAAACGTAAAATCTGTTCCAGGTGAAGCTATTTTAGTATATAGCTAGAGACTAGACACTAGATACTAGATACTAGATACACTAGATACTAGATACTAGATACTAGATACTAGATACTAGATACAAGATACTAGATACACTAGATACTAGATACTAGATACACTAGATACTAGATACTAGACACTAGATACACTAGATACTAGATACTAGATACTAGATACACTAGATACTAGATACTAGATACTAAATACACTAGATACTAGATACTAGATACTAGATACTAGATACTAAATACACTAGATACTAGATACAAGATACTAGATACACTAGATACTAGATACTAGATACTAGATACACTAGATACTAGATACTAAATACACTAGATACTAGATACACTAGATACACTAGATACTAGATACTAGATACTAAATACACTAGATACTAGATACTAGATACACTAGATACTAGATACACTAGATACTAGATACACTAGATACTAGATACACTAGATACTAGATACTAGATACAAGATACTAGATACACTAGATACTAGATACTAGATACAAGATACTAGATACACTAGTCTCTCGCTATATACTATTTTCGTAAGCCCCTCTAAATATGAGCCACCTGGAAGAATTTTACGTTTTTTCTGTATTAAAATTCCGATCTTTCATCGATCGCCACCGTTCCCGTACCTTTCGACGACGCTTATCGTTACGCGTCTTTTCCTGCCTTCGTTCGAATTTTTCGCCGTATCCGTTTTCTTAAATTCGCGAAAAACGCTATTTCCTGGAACGGAAAACGACGCGAAATAGGGGAGCGCGCCTCCCGCTCGGCCTGTCGCGTTCCCGCCTTTTCGTCGTTTTCGCCGCGTCCGACGCCCGAACGCGGTCGTTATCACAACGCGCCGCCGTTTTGTGCGTCGTTTATTCTGTCGTTATTTCTATATAGTGTATTGACTGTATTCGTTTATCAATGTGATTTTGTAAATTTTTCAGTTCTATTGCGATTATATATATTAATTAATCGAAACGTGCGATCGATAATTTTACAGCGATGACGACGATCGACTTGGTTTTCGAATTGTCTACGTTTTAACGATGATATTGTTTAATTCCGTATTGTAAATTTATCCGTCATACGTCCGTTTATTGATTATAAATTAATTATATGGGTAGTGCGTGTTTATTCGTTAAAAAACAAATAAACGCGTGCGTTGGGCGACGATTTTACCACTATTGTAATTAATATATATTATTAATTTGATTTTGTCATTTTTAGGCTGTGCTACACTGTTGTGCCAGGATAACTGAGCTGTAGATTGTTGGCTGTCATCACTATTGGATTTCTGGCACAGGTAAAATTAATGTTAATTTGTCAAAAGAAATTTATTGTTATTCAATTAAAAGTACAATTCATCTTTATACATTATTATTAATTTACTTAGCATATTTGCGTCATTTACCGGTGACATTTGTACTATATCAGTCTACACAATCTCTCTCTCTCTCTCTCTCTATATATATATATATATATATATATATTTACATAGAGATACTTTTTTTTTATTTTTGTTTGCATCTACTACATTGATATTTGTGGTAATAATAATAATGTTACAATCTTAAAATTTTAAAATTGTCTATATAATCATTGTAATGGCTGTATTGATTAATTTGATTTTGTAATTTTTAGATGGCGTTTGTTGTGTCCGAAGGACTGCTTCAATAACGGTTCAGTCCGTTGGCCAAGAGCGCAGTCTCTAACTGCTAACCGATTTATTACACAAGTAATTAATTTTCATATGTCAATTAAAGTTAGGTGATCATTATATTATCTATTGGTGACCGCATTGTGTAATGTGTGTTGAATAAATATTTTTTATTTTTGTTATATTTAATCACACTCATGAACATGTTTGTGGTCCTGTTGTAATTATTTTTTTTTCCACGGTCGTACAATATAGCAATGACTGTATTAATTTATGTGAATTGTAATTTTCAGACTGCGGGTGGCTTGGATAGCAACAACATTATCATTTTTTTTTTTTTTTTTACTCACGGTGTGTCGTTCATTTTTGTTTAGCCCGTGCTTTTCCCTTACCGTTGGAAGAAAACCAAAAAGGTACGGTATGAGTTTTGTAATTGGGACACTTGAATTTTTTGTTTTCCTGATTTTACTCTTTACTTTCAGATCGCATTTCATATATACTGCCATTATTTTGTTGTCTTCTCGGTGACATCTAACTGCCGAACACAGCTTGGAAAACACTACTGTTGGCCTTCGGAGTTCATCGAGAAAACGACTACAGACTTATCCATCGATCGTACTTTAAAGTTATTATTGAATTATGTTTTTTTACATAAACTCTGTTCTATTTTTTTTTTTCGTGCATAAAACTAAAAAAAATTAAAAATTGGAGTTTAATTTGATTATATAACTTTTTAAATTATTTATTTTATGCATAATTAGTAATTATAATTAAAGGAACACATGTGAATTTTTAAATTAATTTTTATGCGTCATACAATTAATATAACACCGGCTCTGTAAAATCGTATACGTTAAATGAATATTGTTTATCAATGAATAATTAATTGAAAGCTGTTTATTTAGCTTTGGCACTGGACACTTTATAACCATAATTTTTTTTATATTTGGCCTGGGAAATTTTTAGCATACTAATTATTTATAAGTTAATTAAAATACTTCATTTCTATATAGGNGAAAAATATTAAAATTTAAATTAAACGATAATTATTTTTAAAGTTAAATAATAACTCGCAATAATTCGGAAGTGAAATAAATTATTTGATATCTGTCTCTATTGCATGGTTTAATTATACCATTGAATTTCATATTTTTCGTTAATTCAAATACTTCATTTCTATATAGGAAACACCATTATCGTATAAAACCAAAAGATTTTATTAAATACCTCAAAATCAGTTTTTAATATTAAATTATTTATATTATCTTTCACTACTCTTTTATTCATTTAATCAACCCGTTCTGTAAATTAATTAATCAACTCCCGATACAATACAGGCTCAATGATTTTCTCATAAGACATTTCACTACTTGCTAATTTATTGTCTATTAAATGTCGACACATTGTAGTATATCGTTTACATTTTACATTCATAAGTGTTAAATTTACCGAGTACAATAGATTATAATATAATAATATTAATTGATGCCTTAAACTATTGTAACTTTCAATATTTTTTATTTATTTATTCGTATCTGTTTTGACTATTTCGTTTTGATATGAATAAATTCAATTTCATGTTTGAAATAGTTTACTTTATTTATACAAATACATTTTGTTTCATGTGTGCGGTTACTAACTATATAGACGTGCGATTGTTCCTTTAAATTCATTTTTTATTGTACAAAAAAAAACCTATTTTACACATGTTTGCGTTGTCAAAATTATACATTCACAATTATATATAAATTTTATTACTCCCTGATTACGATAATTTATAATATTTTTCACTTATGCTATTATAATGATTATAATGATAAATATATTTATTTACTTTTATTTCGATATGAATAAATAGCATCTCGCACAGAGCGTTTGAAGTATTGTTGGTCAACCGTGAAATACGATAATGTGTATTCAATTACGAAAATAGGATATAGAGGGAGATTCAATGTTTTATTTTTCAATGACATGTAATTTTTTTTAATAATATTTAATCTTATAACCCGATATGTTACACGACCAATCTTATTTATTTTTGTTTTTTGCCTACTCGATCGCATAGTTAAATATATTATATTTACATTTCAAATATTTTACTTTGAAGAAAATGATTTTTACTTTAAATTACATTTTTTCTTTTTTTATATATAATATGATTTCAAGTATGTAATATTGTTATATCGGTTTTCACTTGATGCACTCTAATATTATCATACACAAAGATTCATTTACTTTATCAGTTTGTATCGACCAAACAGAGAATTAACATTTCATAATGTTGTCCGACGCAATTATGCTTTTATATATATACATATGGTGGGAACAAATAAATAAACACGGATTGTATTTCAAACTATTTATTTTAATAGAATACAAAAAAAAATCATTCCCCACTCTCATTGCATTCTGAAACAATTGTACACTTATCGTATGTTGCAACATTACGAATTTATTGGATTGGAGTTAGAGGCAGAACTGCTCATTAAACATTTGAAAAAGCAAAGTTTAGTATATTACAATTACCAAAACAGTTCTACCTCTAATTGTGTTACACCTATGCATCTCATACCTTGCTCCGGCATTTCTATGTCAGGAGGTGGTGGTCCCTCATGTTGCTGTGGTGCCTTTTTCTGTGCCGCTTCCAGGAGTCTTCGCAATTTCGCGACTTCTTCCTTCGCAATTTNCCTGTGCCGCTTCAAGGAGTCTTCGCAATTTCGCGACTTCTTGCTTGGCAATTTTCAACCGTTTTTTAACAGTTATTTTTTTTTTTAACGATTCTAAAATAAACATAAATATATTGAACACATGAAAGATAATTGAAGGTTATTTTACCTTTCCGTTGGCAGTTCCGCCTAAGATGGTTGGGACTGTTGCATATAAAACACCCTGCGAAAATTAAAATTTCATTTCAATGTTACTTTTTAAACGGTACACGTGCATAAATCTATAGTATACTAACGTTTACTCTTTTGTCGCCCGCTTTCATCGGGCCGACGAGACGACGGCTGCCCGTAAAAATTATTAGTTATAATGGGTTTTATAATTATTTGTTTCATTATGACATATAATAATGACTCCACAAATACTACTAAATGAATTTCCCAATCGCAGTGGAATTCTTTACCACTCCCAGATCGGACTTTGGACTTGGTTACTTTATAATCTCCGAGAGTCAGTATTTGAACCAATTTCAACAGATCCGGCCGCCGATTTTTGTTGACTTTTTTTGTGGCGCTATTTACTTATTTTGCTGTACTTCCGGACTCTAAGACACTTCCCGGGATTCACGTACGATTTACATCGTACTAAAATCTGTTTAATTTTTTACATAAAACGCGAATGCCTAACCACTGCAAATCAATTTTTTTTGCGCACGACCCGAAATTCACGGTAACACGGCCGCTGGAGTTTTTCGTCACGCGCGTAAGTTGCACTTTGAACCGTCCGACTTTCTATCGTCCGTGTTTCGGACTACGACCGGGTTTCGGTCGTTCTATCGATATTATTCGCATCAATGTGCTCGCGTTATGTAATCAACCTGTTGATCACAATCAATGGACACATTGTCATCGTTTCATAGTGATGATCTCGATTTATAAAAATTGATTATATATTACTTATATATTGTAACCAGAAGTGTTTTATATAAATATATAATTTATATATAGTTCATATACAGAATAATAATTCTTATATAATTTATAAATAGTTCTTTTTTTTATATATATATAATCATACCCGGTTTTTCACCACAGAACTTATTTTTTATTTTCGTTCTAAACATGGTAAACCGGTGTATTTTGTGCTTCGCCACCGTCGCCGACGGTGTCAGTTTACACAAGTATGTACACGTTAATTAATTGTTTTCGATTCGACGTCTCCTTCAGTCTGATGGACATTTGCGTTTAGACTTTGTTTATCCGCGGGCGATGTCGTTGAACAACGTCCGCGATTACGCTAAACATATTGTTTTGTGTGTTACAAACGACGAGTGCAAGAACATCAACGATCAGGTGCTCTACAGTCGAGTCACGGGATCGCAGAGGGTGTACACCGCCACCGACACCGTCGTAGCCGACGACGACGACGAGGCGGCCAATTTTCCCATAGAATTTCTCAACACTCTGGAAGCGGACAACTTGCCGCCGTACAGGTTGACTCTGAAGGTGGGCGCGATCGTCATGTTGCTGAAGAACCTGGACACGGCCAGACGGCTGTGCAACGGCACCAGACTGGTAATTACTGAGCTCAGGCAACATAATTTTAAAGCTAGACTGTTGACAGATCTCGACGCCGAGGAGACAGTCATTCCGATCGTTCAAACGAGGACGTCCGGGGACGGCAACATTCCTTGCCGCATGTGCCGTTACCAGTTTCCCGTGAGGCTCTGCTACGCCATGACCGTCAACAAGTCGCAGGGCCAGATGTTCGATCGTGTCGGCCTGTCGTTGACGGTACAGCCGTTCGCCCACGGACAGCTGTACGTGGCGTTTTCGAGGGTGCGCAACCAAAATTCCATCAGGGTGTACACTTTGTCGGCCGTGGACGGGCCGTGCGTTGTGAAAAACGTTGTGTACAGGGAAGTATTGGAATAAACGACAACTATGGCGGCACTTTGCGTGTCGGCCGCGACGAGTCTTGACTGTGTCATTTATGCCTGTCTCCCCGTTGGCTCAAACTTGCGATCGCCGTCCTTCAGTGCCCTGATCGTCCGCGTTGGACAGCGGTGAATCGGGTTTGTTGAACGGACTACCTAGCGTAGTCCGGACAAGAAGCCCGATTGCTGCTGGCACTTAGGGATGCCGGCAGCGACGGATCTCCACTTTGGCGTTTATGCGAATATTCTGCCTGTGTCTCCGTGTGTCCCTAGAAACGGCTATTTTCCCGTGCTGTGCATTTGCCATTCGAACCCCGAATGGCACGTGTACGGGCGGGGAAATTTCCGTTTTGTGCGGAGAGATTGTATGACAACCTTCACGTGGTTCTCTCTGAATGCGAATCCGTTAAATGGTCATGACATAAAATATTGTAAAATATTTGCATTACAACTCGATAGAAGAGTCACTTTTTACCACACGGATCTGTAACTAATGTCATACGTTATAATTAAAATTTATTTGTATATTATAATATATTTATTTGTTTGATTAACATTCAATTTTTTTTCCAGAACTTAAATGAATTAACACAAATAACTCGGAGGACGTTGGTAACACAACGAACGTTTCGACAAAATAATATCAACGTATGCGCGATCGACATGAAATTCATAGCAATTATCATACACGGCAATTCTACGCTTCATTAGAAATTATTATCGACCATTTGTGATATATAGATTTTTATTGTTTAATATACGCATACATTATTTACTATATAACTTTTCACTTTAAAAGTTCAAATGAAATATAGAATTTATATGGCGAACAATTGAACAAATCAATTTTTCTTTTTGCTTGTTCTATAGTAACAGTTTAATATAATAACATTTGCTTTTATTTTGACTTCTTTATTTTAATATGAATAACTTTCATCTCATGTATTAGGTTTGAAATGTCGTTAGCAAATTTTGTTCTATACGAATTCAACACCTTTTTTTTTATACATTTAAATTTACATTAATTCAATGTATAAATTGGAATAATATATTATACCATAATAATACACAATATTACTATTATTACTGTTATCGTTTCATTGCTATTTAGATTATTTTTATTTTTACTTTATTTTATTACATAAAAAACTTCAATAATATTATTAAGAACTCCTTTTAATTATTTTAACTTTACAACACATTTTTGTTTGTGATATTATTATTATTGTTGCA